GGAGGGAGTCAGTGGGGGAAAAATGTGGAACATCTGTAATACATTTTACATCCAACAATAAAGATTTTAAAAAATTAAAAAAACAAAAACAAAACTTAATTTTCTTAGAACAGTGTTAGATTTACAAACAAAAAAATTGTAAAGGTATTACAGGGAGTTCCCATATATTCCATATCCAGTTTCCCCTATTATTAACATCTTACAGTAGTAGATATGTAATATTTTTTTACAGTTAATGAACCAATATTGATCATTCTACTATTATATTATTCTTTCTGAAGTCACTCAAGAGTTATTGTTTTTGTTTTGTTTTGTTGTTAATCCTCACCTGAGAATATTTTTTCCATTGATTTTATTTTTTATCCTCACCCAAGGACATTTTTTGTTTAGATAGAGTGGGAGGGAGGGAGGGAGGGAGAGAGAGAAAGACATCGATGTGAAAGGGACACATCAAGTGGTTGCCACCTGCACAACCCAACCAGGGCCGGGGACAAACTGCAACCAAGGTATGTGCCCCTATCGGGAATCAAACCCAGGTCTGTCTGGACCGCAGGCCGACACTCTAACCAATGAGCCAAACCAGCCAGGGCTTTTCCATTGATTTTTAGAGAGAGTGGAAAGGAGGGAGGGAGGGGAGTAGAGAGAGAGAAAGAAACATCGATGTGAGAGAGACACATCAGTTGGTTGCCTCCTGAACTACCCTAGCCAGGGCCAGAGATCCAACCTATAACTCAGGTACTAACCTTTAACCAGAAATTGAACCTGAGATCCTTCAGTCCTCCGGCTGATGCTCTAACCAGCCAGGACTGTTCCTTTCCTTCTAATCGCTTTCCCCATCCCCAGCTCCTGACAACCACTGATTTACTACTTTCTGTCACTGTATAGTTACCCTTTCTGGAATTATTCTAGTAAAATACTATATATGTGGAATCATATAGTATGTCATTTTTTTGTGTCTGATTTCTTTCACTTAGCTTAATGCTTTTGAGATGTGTTGTGTGTGTATAGGAACTGTTCATTCCTTTTTATTGAGTAGTATTCCACTGTATTATATACTGTACTTTGTATCCATTTGCAAATCCATAAATATTTGTCTTGTTTCCACTCTTTGGCTATTATGAATAAAGATGCTATGAACATTTGTGTACAGATCTTTGTGGAGACATATCTTGTTATTTCTCTTGGGTAGTTAGAAATTGTATGTTAGCGTATATGGTGAGTATGTATTTAACTTTTTTTTTTTTTAAACTGGCCAATTGTTTTCTTAAGTAGCTGTACTATTTTGCATTTCCACAACCAATGTATGAGGATTCCAGTTTGCTCCACATCCTCACCAACAATTGATGTTATCAATCTTTTAAAAAAATATTTTTTTAATTGAACTGAGAGAGAGGGGAATGGAAAGGGAGAGAGAGATAGAAACATCGATGAGAAAGAACATCTGTTGGCTGCCTTCTGCATGTCCCCCACTGGAGATTTGGCCCACAACCTGGGTATGTGCCCTGACCAGGAATCAAACCGACAACCTTCTGTTGCATGGGTGATGCTCAATCACTGAGCCACACTGGCCAGGTGATATTATCAATCTTTTTTATTTTAGTGGGTTGTAATAGTACATCCTTGTAGTTTTGATTTGCATTTCCCTAATAGCATTGAGCATCTTTTTGTGTGCTATTTTGCCATTTCTTTGTCTTTTTTGGTGAAGTATCTGTTCAGATTTTTATTTTTTTGGGTTATTTATTTTATTGAGTTTTAGAGTTATTTATATAAAGACATTTTTTAATGTCTTGACCAAAATAGCATGTTTGGAAATTTATTTTCAAAATATAAATGAACTAAGTGGACATAATGAAAAGCTTTTTTTGTTTGTTTAAATATGTTTTTATTTATTTTTTAGAGAGAGAGGAAGGGAAAGGGAGAGAGAGACAGAAACATTGATCAGCTGCCTCTTTCATGTCCCTCACTGAGGATTGAGCCCACAACCTGGGCATATGCCCTAACTGGGAACTGAACTAATGACCTCCCAGTGCATGGGTTGATGCTCAATCCACTGAGCAACACTGGCCAGGCATGAAAAGCTTTTAAGTAATAGCTTAGTACTTAACTGAAATATAAATGCTGTTTTGCATGTTTAAGAACTAAAGAACAGATCTAGTAGAAATATAAAGTATTTTTTATGTGCCTTTTCCATTGCCCATTTCTCCAAATTTGCTCTAGTGAATGCTTGCTTAAAAAAAAATATATATATATATATGTATATATATATATATATTTGCTTTTATTGATTTTTATAGAGAGAGGAAGGGGGAGGGAGAGAAAGAGAGAGAAACATCCATGTGAGAGAAAAATTGATTGGTTGCCTCCTGCATGCACCCAGACTGGGACTCGAACCCACAACCTGGGTATATGCCCTGACCAGGACTCATACCAGCAACTTTTCATTGTTTGGGTTGATGCCCAACGAACTGATCCTCACTAGCCAGGGCTCTTTGAAAATCTTTGCCTGGCTGGTTGAGCATCAACCCATACACCAAGGGGTCACCAGTTCAATTCCCAATCAGGGCACACGCCCAGGTTGTGGGCCTGATCCCCAGAGGAGGGCATGCAGGAGGCAGCCAATTGATGTTCTCTCTCACTGATGTCTCTATCTCTCTCCCTCTCCCTTCCTCTCTCTCTGAAATCAACAAAGAAAAAAAAAATCTTTGAAGTGATAGTTGTTGGTTAGTGTCCAGATGCTTTGGGAACCAATCTTACAGCTCTGTTTCAGGTGTTTATTTTAATCATACCTATCGGTTCCAAATAGTATGTCTCATCTTCCTTGTACACTCTGTGGGGACTGACTAACTGCCAAATAAACTTTTAGAGACATTGAAGACCCATTAAAAAGCAAAGCAAAATAAATATTGCATCATGGTCACATGAAATTTAAATATTTTTATTGTAAAAGAAGGAAGTGTGGCTTATTTTATGTTATGGTTGGTTAAAACAATGGCATTTTTGTGTGTATGTGTATACTCCTCTGGCCAAATAAAATACTCAAGTAAAATTATAAATAGTGTCATTAATTACTGGACTAGTGTGTTGACAAGCTTTAGGAGATCACATTTCAGTTATAACCCCTTTCTTTAATAAAAATATTGGTAGTTTTCTGTGACCATCTCCTCTAAGAAATCTATGCACATATACACTCTAGCAGCTGTGGATTATATTCTTTTCCATTACTTGATCTCCAGTTTTTTAAAAATATGTTTTTATTGAGTTTTAGAGAGGAAGGGAGAGGGAGAGAATGAGAAACATCGATGAGAAAGAAACGTGATTAATCTGCTGCCTCCTGCACGACCCTTAGTGGGGATAAAGCCCACAACCCAGGTATGTGCCCTGACCAGGAAACAAATTGGTGACCTCTCATTGCATAGGATGATGCTCAGTCCACTGGGCCACACCTACCAGGCTTGATCTCCAGTTTTATTTTTGTTTTTTTATTTTTTTTTTCTTTATTGATTTTAGAGAGAGAGGAAGGGGTAGGGAGAGAGATAAATATTGATGAGAGAACATTGATTGGCTGCCTCCTGCATGCCCCCGACTAGGGATCAGGCCCACAACCTGGGCCTGTGCCCTGACCAGGAATTGAACTGGGGACTTCTTGATGCATGCGTCAACCCTCAACCACTGAGCTACACCAGCCGGGCTTGATCTCCAGTTTTAAATGGATGTAGCAAACTGCCCTAAGCTTACTATTCAAAAAGGAAAATGAGTTTCAAAAAAAATGGGAAAGGGATTGCAGTTAAAACCCATTTTTTAAGGAAGTTAAGATGACTTATTGAATTGTGATCTGTAACGTTTGGGTAAGGGTAACCTAAGGTTTCTCAGGGAGGCAGTTTTGTCTTTTATTTGAACCATTCTTTAATTTTTCTAGAGTAGTCTATTCATCTTGTTCGGCAGAAAGTATATAAACAACTACTTAATATTACAAGTGAGTGTGATGTATAGTTTTACCAGTCAAATAGAATCCCTCTTTTGGCCCTATTCCATAGATGAATGAGAAATATTTAAGAGATGTAGGAGGAAGAGAGGTGGGGCAATTTGTAGGAAAGAAATTCAGGTCAGCTTAATTTTTTTTATATCCCATCATCTTAGCATTCTGGGATTCACATTCCCAGATTATGTTGTTGTTTGAGTTCCTTCTTCCAGAGAGATAATGTTTAACTCAAAGGGAATTCTGTTAAGAGCTTGAATAACGTGATTGAATTTTAGTAAACACTGAATTTGTCTGTGTTTTGCTATTCTTTCCTATTTAAACCTCTCAATTTCTAATAGCATTATACCAGTCTATTTGGTATAATGAAACAAAGTCCATGTGAATGAGATAACACACTCATGATCTGATTGTGGCATGTGTGTGACAGTGGGTTAAATTTTGCTGTTTTCTTGTCTGTGCTGTCAATTCTTATGGGAAAAAGCATGTACTTTAAAAATGATTTATTAGAAGAAATATGATATTAAACTTCAAAAGAAAACTTTTTTCCCCCCAGAAAATTTAAAAAACAAGACCTGAAACTTTAGTTTCTGTGTCAAATTTTGGCTCTTCATTGCTCCTTGTAATGTATTCAGAAATTTAAAATATAAGGTGAAATGAATTGAACTAGTTCTCTAGGAAACCTAAGTAGTTAACTTAAAGTAAAAACATAATCCTGTAGATTTTACTGAATTTTCACATGGTTGTGATCATTGTTCTTTCTCTAAAATAATTGATGGGCCTGCAGGCTGAGCCTAGACATAGATTCAGAAAAGCAGAATAGCAAACTTGGTAATAGTGCGAATATATTTGTACACATGACTGGAAATAGAGAACTTAATAAAATAAAGGACCCTCCCTGATAGCATCAAGTATTATTGGGACCTGACTAACATGCAGAAATAGTGGTAGCCGAGACCTCAAACTCTTCATAGTTATGGGGGAGCATCTACTAAGGGTATCAGGGTTTAAATATGTTTTACTGACTTAAAAACTGTTTGTTCTCTTTTGAAAAGTTGAATATTTGTTTTGCCTTTATGTCTTACCATTCCTCTGAAGAACAGAAGGCACACTGTAAAACCTGACACTTCCCCTTGCATTCTGTGAGGTAAGTAGAGTATTTTATAATAAGTATTTCTTTAAAACCGTGACTCTTAATTCAGACACCAAAAAATAAAGTTATTTGCAGTGTTATACATTTCTATATGTCTTGCTGTTGACTGGGAGATGAAGTTATGCTGTTGTTATATCTGCCTTTTATTGCTAAGGGTGTGGTAGATTTAGACAATTTGGCAGGTACAGTTTTATAGTGTGGATCTTGCCATGAGCCTCTTTGATATTAACTTGATTCTTGCTGAACATTTCTCTTAATCAAGGTAGTGAGTAGGCTCCAAAATTTCCAAGTAATCCAAGTTTCTAAATATCTGTGAGAGAATTTCTTTAGTGCTAGGTATCAGAGGACAGAGGCTAAGCTTTTTGCTAATCAGACCAGGAATTGCGGACATGAAATCTTTTCATTGAAACTTTTTATTGAACTCATAGATTTGGGTTCTCTCTCTTTTTTTTTTTATCCTTACCCGAGGACATTTTTTTGATATTTTGTTCAGATAGAGTAGGAGGGGGAGAGAGAGAGAGAGAAACATTGATGTAAAAAGGACACATCGAGTGGTCGCCATCTGCATGACCCAACCAGGGCCAGGGACAAACTGCAACCGAGGTATGTGCCCTTAGCGGGAACCAAATCCAGGTCTCTCTGGACCGCAGGCCGATGCTCTAACCGCTGAGCCAAACCGGCCAGGGCTAGATTTGGGTTCTTTAAGTGAATGATTTTATGAATAAATATAATGGGAATGAAAGTATAACTGACTGTTTTTGAGTTTGAGGAATGCTTCATTTCTAGGCAGTAGAATGCTATTTCTCATCCCTCTCTCTCTTAGATTATAGCAAAATGGATGTACCAAATCCCCCAACTTCCAAATGTATCACTTACTGGAAAAGAAAAGTTAAGTCTGAATACATGAGACTTCGACAACTTAAACGGCTTCAGGCAAATATGGGTGCAAAGGTAAAAAATAATTCCCAAGTGAAAAATGTTCTGTATTTTAATAAATTGATCCAATGTGGAGGGGTTGAATTTTTTTTTAACTCTTCTCTTGAAATCCTAACAACTTTTTCCTGGCTTTGCTAGGCTCTATATGTAGCAAATTTTGCAAAAGTTCAAGAAAAAACACAGATCCTCAATGAAGAATGGAAGAAGCTTCGTGTTCAACCTGTTCAGTTGATGAAGCCTGTGAGTGGACATCCTTTTCTCAAAAAGGTACTTCCAGGTGTTTAAGCTCTGCCTCCTTCTCTTCCTTGGACTTGTATTTGTGATTAGAAAATAAGTAAGGATATTGGGTACAATTATTATAGTCAGCTTTGAATAACTAAGATGGTCAATTTGTAGTTTAAAGAAAAACCTTTTTGCCCATTGTTCTCAGTTAATGAACATAATCATGAGTTTTTCATAGAAAAACAAGACATTTACTGTCTACTTTCCTGGGTTCTGTGTCCAGGTTTCAAAGTAACTTTTTTTCACTCCTTGTTTGGCACCCTCGGTACTTTGATATTGGAAAAAAGAATGCCCTGGATGATGGACAGGAGTATATTGATCAAAGAGATATCCCTTATTGTAAACTTATAAATCATACTAGTTTCTTAAGGAGATAACATTGTTAAGATATATAAAGTAGGTAGTGTATTGAGAGTAATTTTATTTTGCTTCTCCCTGTATTATCTCAATCATCTGTGCAGCTAAGTTGATGTCCTCTGTCTTAAAGTTTAGGTCTTCAGAAAAACTTCCTCATCTTTCTCTTCATCTGTTAGGACTTTCAGAGGCCCTTTGCTGTTGTGTACAAGTAGACCAACATTCATTCATTCATTCATTCATTCATTCATTCATTCATTTATTTTTGGTATGTGCCCCTAGGCGGAACCGAACCCGGGACTCACAGGTCCACAGGCCAACGCTCCAACTGCTGAGCCAAACTGGCCAGGGCTAGACCAACAGTTTTAGAAATAAACATCAAATATGGGATTTGAAATAAACATCACTGATTATGGGAGACAGTGTGCTTGATCTGTTAGAGGATGCAAAGATGAATAGAAGATAGTTCCTGTTCCACAGGTGCAGTTCACAGTGCAGTGGTTCCTTTAAGGAGCTGCCTGTTACAAAACCCTCAACTCATTCATTTGAAAGAATTAGAAGGCTACTGGGATCATTTTGGAAGGAGACTGCAATTCTCTCTTGGATTGTGTGCTTGCCTTTTTGTTTCCATGTTGTTGTTTATATTTCAGTGTACCATAGACAGCATTTTCCCAGGATTTGCAAGCCAACATATGTTAATGAGGTCTCTGAACACAGTTGCATTGGTTCCCATTATGTATTCCTGGTCTCCTCTCCAGCAGAACTTTATGGTATGTATCAAAAGCACTGTGGTAATTGTTTAAACTCTATGATTTTCTTGTGTTGATATGCTGATACTTCTCTTAAGGTAAATATTGTCAGAGTACACTTAACAAAGCTTGGAGATATGGGGCAGAATGCTTTTGTAATTTATTTACTCTAAAAAGTATATTGTGCCCTGGCCAGTGCAGCTTAGGTGGTTAGAGTGTCAGCCCATGCACAGAAGGGTCTCTGGTTTGATTTCTGGTCAAGCGCACCTACCTGGGTTGCAAGTTGGATCCCTAGCCCCAATCAGGGTGTGTGCGGGAGACAACCAATCGATGTGTCTCTTTCACGTTGATGTTTTCCTCTCTCTTTCTCTCTCTCTCTCCCTCCTCCCCTTTCCCTCCCTTCCACTTTCTCTAAAAAAACATTGGAAAAAATATCCTCTGGTGAGGATTAACAACAACAACAACAACAACCAAAAATGTATATTGCAAGTTGTTCTAACGTGTTGAATATTATGCTGCCTGACAGTGTACTTCTGCATCGATGATGGTTCTCTTTTTTGAATGAATGAGACTGGGCAAGACTCCCATTTTCCCTCGCTACCTTGGCCCAGTTTTATATGTGCAGTTAAATTCAGTTTAAATCAGACACTTGAGGCTTAAGCAGGTTGACAACTCCCTGCTGATGGCTCAATCCTTTCTGAATCCCCTAAAGGTAAGATGCTATGAAAGCAACTGAGATAAATGAGGTGCACAGGGACCCACAGTCTTTTCTTCTGGGCCATTATGCTGACTCCTATTAGGATTATTTGTGGTCCTGATGATCAGTCCTCTCTAAATTACTGCTATTGCTTATCATCTGCCTGGTGACAGATAACAGTTCTGCTGACAAGAATCAGATATAGGTTTACAGAAGAGAATCCTTAGAATAATTTTACTTTGATACTTGAGGATTTTTTTTTCTTTTTATTGCTACTTGAGGATTTAAGAATGACTGTGTTGCCCTGGCCGGTTTGGCTCAGCGGTTAGAGCGTCGGCCTGCGGTCCGGAGAGACCGGGGTTCGGTTCCCGCTAAGGGCGCGTACTTCGGTTGCAGTTTGTCCCCGGCCCTGGTTGGTCGTGTGGGTGGCAGCCACTCGATGTGTCCCTTCACGTCGATGTTTCTCTCTCTCTCTCCCTTCCTCTCTCTCCCTTCCACTCTATCTGTACAAAAAATGGAAAAATATCCTCGGGTGAGGATAAAAATAAAAAAATAAAAGTATTTAAAAAAGAATGACTGTGTTTTCTGCTGAACCAAAAAAAAAAAAAATTCCATTAGTATTGCTTATTACCAGAAAATATTTGTAGTTCATACTGCGATTGACTTTAGGTTCCCACTGAGTGTGATTGACATGAGTTATAATAATTTTTATTATGATTATGAGAGGTTAGTCTTATTGTGTATGATAGAATATCTAAAAATTTTATGGTTGCCCAGTTTCTGTTCTAAATATTCTAGTTATACTGCATATTATACTTTTGGAAGCCTTCCTTCTCATTTAATATTTATGTATGAGAAGGATTCGAATTGAAGACTTTTTAGACTGTTGTTTAGGTGATATTCATACCTATTTCATAATGATGTTTAGTGGATAACAAGAGATAATGATGATGGAATCACTGTGGAAAATAAATGTACTATCAAATTTTAGGTGTTGGCAGAAGTATCCTTGTTAGTATCATGCTAAACATTTGGTAGTTAATATTCTCATGTAGTTAAGCTGACAATTTTTTTTCTAAAAGTAGCATTCCCCTCTTCCAGTTGAGGTTTTGTTGGTAAAACAAAATAGCCATGTTTTAAAGTACAGGCAGTTGTGCCCTGGCCAGTTTGGCTCAGCAGTTAGAGTGTCGGCCCATGGACCAGAGAGTCCTGGGTTCGGTTCCTGCTAAGGGCACCCGCTAAGGGTACCTCAGTTGCAGTTTGTCCCCGGCCCCGGTTGGGGTTGTGTGGGTGGCAGCCGGTTGATGTGTCTCTCTCATGTCAATGTTTCTCTCTCTCTCTCCCTCCTCCCCCACTTCCTCCTGCTCTATCTGAAAATTAAAAAATGTCCTCAGGTGAGGATAAAATATAAATAAAAAATAAATAAATAAAGTGCAGGCAGTTGTGACCAGTCATTTTCAGGAGTTTCAAGCAGCAAAATAGACTCACAAATATTTCATCAAACAGAAAAGAGGAGATGCATAGTGGATTCATGGAACAAATCACATCTGCTTTGATTTCAGGTAGAAGATGAGACAGTTTTGTGCAATATCCCCTACATGGGAGATGAGGTGAAAGAAGAAGATGAGACTTTCATTGAAGAGCTGATCAATAACTACGATGGGAAAGTCCATGGTGAAGAAGGTAGTGGTGTTGGGCTGTTTGGGAGAAAACTTTGTTAGAATGGTGCCTCTTCTTTGATCTGTCATCATCTTCTCATCTACTGCCTCATGGTGTACACACTGAAGAATATTTCAGTGTAATCACATGATTGAGAGTAGAAAATTTATATGAAAAATATTGCAGTTAAATTTTAAAAAGAGTTGGACAAAAATTTTTTTAAGAAGTTGGGACATAAAAGGATCACATAGTAATCAGTGACAGGAGAGAAAGCTCAGTGTACAAATAAGTTTGATTTTAGAAGTTTTTGTAAATCCATCCATTTGTTCATTTCCCTTTCTCTGAGAATGGCAATAATCATAACCTCTCCCTCTTATGACTTTGATCTGGATATCCCCTGGATCTCCCAGAAGTTGGTTATAATATCCTGACTTTCCTAAAATAAAGTCATTGGATTTAGTTGTAGTTTTAGGAAAGGATGTTAGTATGTAAGAACTGGGAAAATGGGGAAAGACTCCCTATGGATTTGCAAACCAATAGCCTCACCTGCTCTTTTGCTTTTGACCATTGTGGGTGCTGTTATGATGCTGTTGAAATGCATTTATCCACTGCACCCCCTAGTGTTCAGACTTTCTTCTAGCAGGCATGGGGAATCTTTTTTCTACCAAGGGCCATACAAAGTTATCAACTTAAAAATTAGCCAGCTATATTTGGTCAGATTAATTTGGTGAGGTGTGTGATGTCAGCTAGTATTGATTTTGCAGGCCTTATATGTTCCAAGGGCCAGATGTTCCCCACCCCTGTTAGGTGTAGTATAACTCCATACAGTATGATTTTAGAGGGGAAAAAAATGCTATCTTTTTATTCAAAGAAGTCACTACTGACCAATTAGCAGCAAAACCAAGTACGTTTTCATTTCATCATTCCTTTTCTGCCCCATTTGTATTGTTTGCACATTTCTGTGAGAATTTGGACCATAAATACAGGTTGACCTGTGACTGTGGAAGTGAAGTACCCTAGTAAGAATAAAGCCTATAACTAGATTTCCCACTCTAGTCAGCTGAACTGTTGCAGTTGTCAGAGCCAATCAAATTATTGTAATGCCCTGGTTGTCCATATAAAAATGTACATCTACCTGGACCTCAGGAGTGATTACAAGAAAAGCTTCAGCGGAGGACCGATGGAATATAAAACAACCACTTTTCATCCATTTCTTTCTTCCCTTTCCCCTTTCCCCTTTCCTTTCTCCTCACCCGAGGACATTTTTCCATTTTTTGTTCAGATAGAGTGGGAGGGGGAAAGAGAGAGAAACATCGACGTGAAAGATACACATTGAGTGGTTGCCACCCGCACAACCCAACCAGGGCCGGGGACAAACTGCAACTGAGGTACATGCCCTTAGCGGGAACCAAACCCGGGACTCTCTGGTCCGCAGGCCGACACTCTAACCACTGAGCCAAACCGGCCAGGACTGTTCATCCATTTAATCCTTATGTTTCAGAGATGATCCCTGGATCTGTCTTAATTAGTGATGCTGTTTTCCTGGAGTTGGTAGATGCCTTGAATCAATACTCAGATGACGAGGAGGAAGGGCACAATGACACCTCAGATGGAAAGCAAGATGACAGCAAAGAAGATCTGCCAGTAACAAGAAAGAGAAAACGACATGCTATTGAAGGTAAATAGCACCACTTCCTTATTCTACTTTAAGAGTAACAGAGAGTTGGGGGAAGGGTGGATATTGTAATACTTTCAACACTAAAGATTTAAAAAGTCTTGGCCAGTTTGGCTCAGCAGTTAGAGCGATGGCCTGCAGACCAGAGAGGCCCAGGTTCGGTTCCCACTAAGGGCATGTACCTCGGTTGCAGTTTGTCCCTGGCCCCAGTTGGGGTTGTGTGGGTAGCAACCACTCGATGTGTCTCTCTCACGTCAATGTTTCTCTCTCTCTCTTCCTCCCTCTCTCCCTCCTGCTCTATCTGAAGATAAATGCAAAAATGTCCTCGGGTAAGGATTAAAAAATAATAAAATAAAGATTCAAAAAAAAGTAACAGAGAGAGGCCTAATATGCACAATATTATATGTCAAATATATCTCAATTTTTTTAAAAGTACATATATATCCCTGGCTAATGTGGCTCATTTGGTTGGGTGTCATTCTGTACTGGTTGCTGGTTTGATTCTGGTCATGCCAAGGTTTCAGCCTCGATCTTCGTTGGGGCATGCAGGAAGCAGTCAATCAATGTTGTGCTCTCACATCAATATTTCTGTCTCTCTAAAAATCTATAAACTATTCTTTTTTTTTTTTATCCTCACCCGAGGACATTTTCCATTTTTTGTCCAGACCGAGTAGGAGGGAGAGAGAGTAAGAGAGAGAGAGAAACATCGATGTGAAAGGGACACATCGGGTGGCCACCACCCACACAACCCAACCAGGGCCGTGCCCTTAGTGGGAAACGAACCCAGGTCTCTCTGGACCACAGGCTGATGCTCTAACCGCTGAGCCAAACCAGCCAGGGCATCAATAAACTATTCTTAAAAAAAAAAAAAAAAAGTACATATATAAATCAGCCTGTCTATATCTGTTATGTGAAATTGGGATCATGCCACATATACACACACATTTTTGTTGTTAATCCTCACCCAAGTTTTTCATTGATTTATAGAGAGAGTGGAAAGGAGGGAGGGAGGGAGAGAAAGAGAGAGAAACATTGATGTGAGAGACACATTGATTGGCTGCCTCCCGCACATGTCCCAACTAGGGTTGGGGATTGAACCTGCAACCCAGGTATGTGCCCTTGACTGGGAATCGAACCTGTGACCTTTGGTGTGTGGGCCAATGCTCTAACCACTGAACTACACCAGCCAGGACACACATATATAATTTTTTATCCCTTTTTATTTAATCTTACATCATGAATGTTTATCCATATTGTTAATATTTAACTATTAAATGTTTAATTATACTCTACATTATTTAATTATACTGTAAGTCCGGGGATATAGTGCCTATTAAATAAGTCCAGATAGTCTTGACCTTCTTATATATTCCTAAACAACCAATGATTAGGTTAACAAAGCAGCTCTAATCAAAATGGTGTGACAGCCCTGGCTGGTGTATCTCAGTGGTTAGAGCATCGGCCCGCTCACTGAGGGATTGCAGGTATGATTCCTGGTCAAGGGCACATACTTGGGCTGCAGGTTTGGTCCCCAGCCCCTGTCAGGGCTTGTGAGGGAGGCAGCCAGTCCATGTGCCTCTCTCACATGGATGTTTCTCTCTCTCTCCCAACCCCCCTCCCTCCCTTTCACTCTCTCCAAAAATCCATGGAAAAAATAATTCAATGTGAGAATTAACAAAAAAGAAAAAAAATGCTTTGTTTGCATATTTTGATTATAGATAGCACTCAGGAGCTTTTTGTCTTTTCTAATTCAGGCAACAAAAAGAGTTCCAAGAAACAGTTCCCAAATGACATGATCTTCAGTGCAATCGCCTCAATGTTCCCTGAGAATGGTGTCCCAGATGACATGAAGGAGAGGTAGGGGAAGCTATACCCTCAGGCCATGTAGAGTGATTGAGCAAAATGTTTATGCAAGCCTGTATTTGGTTTATAAAAAGCCTTGTTTATGGTAAATGCATAAGGATTTGCTTGCACTTTAGATTATTTCTTGTTTTCTTGCTTATCCCTAAATACCCATTCCTGTATTAAGAGTCATTATTTGCTGGTTTTTGAGTAGGTCTGAGCAGAGAAGTTTTATAATTCTGCCATTTTTCTGGACAGTAACTCTAGTACCATGCTTATCAAATCTTTCCCTCCCCTTACTTTCAGACATATGTCCAGCCCAGCATAATTACAATGGTGTACCAACATAGTTATACAACATTTCATCATCAACAAGACTCATAAAGCCCTGGCTGGTGTTGCTCAGTGGTTAGAGCATTGGCCCGAGCATTGAAGGGTCTTGGGTTTGATTCCCAGTCAAGGGCATGTACCTGGGTTGCAGGTTCAATCCCAGCCCCGGTTGGGGTGCATGTGAGAGGCAACCAATAGATGTGTCTTTCTCATATCAATGTTTCTCTCTTTCTTCCTCCCTTTCTCCCTCCCTCCTTCCTTTTCTCCCCTCCACTCTCTCTCAACATTAAATGGAAAAAATATCCTCGGGTGAGGATTAACAACAACAAAAAACAAGACTCATAAAAACCCCCATCCTCTCTTGGGCAACTGTACCTGGATGATTCTCAGTACTCAATCTGTATTTTCTCAGTAAAAACATTCCCTTGGAAAGAACTCTTATCTCTCTTTTCTTAAATAGGTATCGAGAGCTAACAGAGATGTCAGACCCCAATGCACTTCCCCCTCAGTGCACACCCAACATCGATGGCCCCAATGCCAAGTCTGTGCAACGGGAGCAATCTCTGCACTCCTTCCACACACTTTTTTGCCGGCGCTGCTTTAAATACGACTGCTTCCTTCACCGTGAGTGGGGCTACTCTGAAATGCTCTCCTGTTTTCCATTCCCAGCCACCATTTCCTTCTCTTTATTTTAGTTTATCATTTGGAGTTCCCAGCTTCTGATCTGATTGTGGTTGTACAAAGGACCAATCTATTTTCACTTGTTCAGTTATAGTGCAATGTGCTTTGCATGGTCAGGACAGAATAACCAGCAACATAATTGTTTCTGAATACCTCCTAGCTTTGAAAGGATTGTCCTGATATCAGAAATGATTAAATTTTGTGCATCTTGATGGTTAACTGTTTATATCTAGATTCTCCTACACTAGCTCCCTAATTCAGTTTTGTTCCTCCCTATCCTATTAAGTGGATGAATCATTGGAAACAAGACAGTGTTGTGTTTTCCAGCTTTTCATGCTACCCCTAATGTATATAAACGCAAGAACAAAGAAATCAAGATTGAACCAGAACCATGTGGCACAGACTGCTTCCTTTTGCTGGTATGTTCTTAAGCTGTTCTACCATTGTTGATTTTGTTGAAAATTAAACAGGAAATGGTCCTTGGGCTTTCTGCCCCTGGGAACACAAACCAAGTGAGATAGTACATAGCATTTGGGGATCATAAAGTGCAAATAAATCATGACTTCTGTCCTTAAGGAGCTCCCAGATACTGAGGCAGTAGGACTGTGAAGTTAGTCTTATGGAGTGAGGTTTGAAGAACATTGATGTCTTTCCTGCCCTAAATATCATCTATTCACATTTCAGAGTCTGAAACTATATTGTTTGAATTGAGCTGTGTGTTTTAACTTACAGAAATGTATATGTACAGGTTTTCTTTTATTACTGCTTAGAAATCAGTACATATTCAAATGCTGGACTATTTTTCCCAAAACGTTTTATTAAGAAAAATTTCAGTGATGCAAAGAAACTTGAAAGATACCTTTTCCCTCAATTTAATAACATTTTTCTATATTTTCTTTATTTCTATATTTGTGTGTATGTATCTTTTGCTGAGCCATTTGAAAATAAGTTGCAGACATTATAATGCTTGTTTGCTAAGTATTTCAGCATGGTTCTCCTAAAAATAAAGTCATTCTCTTACATATTACAGTTAAGAAAATTAACAAGAATTTTTTTTTTTTTTATCCTCACCTGAGGACATTTTTCCATTTTTTGTTCAGATAGAGTGGGAGGGAGAGAGAGGAAGAGAGAGAGAGAGAGAAACATCAATGTGAAGGGACACATCGAGTGGCTGCCACCCGCACGACCAACCAGGGCCGGGGACAAACTGCAACCGAGGTACGTGCCCTTAGCGGGAACCGAACCCGGGTCTCTCTGTACCGCAGGCCGACGCTCCAACCGCTGAGCCAAACCGGCCAGGGCTAACAAGAATTTTGTAATGACATTTACCTATTCTATATTCAAAAAATTTTAGTAGTACCAAGAATAGCTCGTTGTTGTTTTCTTTTCAAACCAAGATTATACAGTCATTATATTTGGTTATTATGTCTTTTCAGTCAATCTCTCTTTTAAAATATGTTTATTTATTTTTTTAGAGAGAGAGGAAGGGAAAGAGAGAGAAATACTGATGTGAGAAACATTGATCTGCTACCTCCTGCATGCCCCCTACTGGGGATCAAGCCTGAAACCCAGGCATGTGCCCTGACTGGGAGTTTAACCAGGACCTCTCAGTTCATGGTATGATGCTTAATCCACTGAGTCACACAGGCTGGGCTTAAACTTTTTTTTTTTTAATTTACTAATTTTAGAGAGCGACATCCACTTGTTCCACTTATTTATGCATTCGTTGGTTGCTTCTTGTATGTACCCTGAATGGGGATCAAACCCACAACCTTGGTGTATCAGGATGATGCTCTAACCAACTGAGCTACCTGACCACAGCTGTGTTAAACATTGAGTAAGAATATATTATAAGTGATGCTGTGTGTCACATCATAGCATAGGCATGTAATATCAGATTCAATTAATTTAAAAACTTTTCTTTTGGAATTTTCTTTAGGGCCTATGGTATATTATTCTGACTATCCTTATTAATGGTAAGCCCTTATGCTTTACATACATGTAGGTAGGTTTAGTGTTCAGAAACAGCTAGAAATCTTTGGGAACCAAGTATGGTAAGAAGATAGATGACCAAGTTGAATAATAGTTGTTCTTTAAAAAAAGCATAGCCCTGGCTGGTTTGGCTCAGCGGTTAGAGCATCGGCCCATGCACCAAAGAGTTGAGGGTTCAATTCTGGTCAAGGGCATGTACCTCGGTTGCGGTTTGATCCTTGCCCTTGGACGGGGTAATGCAGGAGGCAGCCAGTTGATGTGTCTCTCTCACATCAATGTTTCTCCATCTCCCTCTCCCTCTCCCTCTCCCTCTCCCTCTCCCTCTCCTTCCCTCCCACTCTGTCTGAAGATAAATGGAAAAAATATCCTCAGGAGAGGATTAAAAAAAAAAAAAAAAGCATAGCTTTAAAGTGATGAAACAGTATTCTTCCAAGTTTCATATACTGATTTAGAGGGAAGTTCCAAAATTAAGTAGTAATATTGTACAAATTCAGGGATTACACATTTTATTATTGAAACAGAGGCAGAGCAGTAGAATGTAAAGAGCAATTTGGCCTGGGGACAAGGAGCTCTGGTCCTTGTACCCCCTCTGGAACAATTAGCTATATACTCTCAAGCAGGTCCTTTCTCCTCTTTCAACCTCATTACCTCATCTACAGGAGAATGTGTTCTCAAATTCCAAACAGCTAATATGTAAGTGCATTTTAGATACAACTCACTGGGAAGTTGACGATGCATAGATGATATCTTTTTAAGATTACAGTATAGCTCTTTTGTGAAAAAGTGTAAGTTTCTAAGTTTTTAGAATGTTTGCTAAGTGGCTGTTATATGGTCACACTTATATGGTACAGAGCAAACAAACTAAAGGGACAGTATCATTGCCTGTAAGCACAGATGTTGAAGAAGATGGTTTGTGATGATGGGATAAATATGGTGACCCTGGGCCTATTCCAGTTTTCCATCTGTAATTTGTCCACTGCAGGAAGGAGCAAAGGAATACGCCATGCTCCACAACCCTCGCTCCAAGTGCTCTGGTCGTCGACGACGAAGGCACCACATGGTCAGTGCTTCCTGCTCCAACACTTCAGCCTCTGCTGTGGCTGAGACTAAAGAAGGGGACAGTGACAGGGACACAGGCAATGACTGGGCCTCCAGTTCTTCAGGTACAGTGAACAGAAATTGATCTCTCCTTACTACACAAGGACTGTGTTAAACCCAGAATCACCACCTAATATCTAGCATTACTAGGTTTTAGAATATTGTTCATTGTTTCCACAGGTTCACGTCTAAGCAGTGGAGACAGGGGCTATTTTTGTTTCTAACTATGCTGCCATTTTTTTTTTTTTTTTTTAATCCTCATCTGAGGATATTTTCCCATTGATTTTTATATAGAGTGGAAGGGAGGGAGAGAGAGAGAAAAACATTGAAGTGAGAGAGACACATCGATTGGTTGCCTCCTGCACAACCTCGACTGGGGCCTGTGATCCTTTGGTCCATGGGCTGACGATCTGATCACTGAGCCAAACCAGCCACAGCACTATGCTGCCTTTTAAATAGAGCACTTCTGAGTTTGTGGCCAACTACTGATGACAACTGCATTCTACCTTCTTCTGTTTCTCTTATTTCTTCCTCTCTTAGAGGCTAACTCTCGCTGTCAGACCCCCACAAAGCAGAAGGCTAGTCCGGCCCCGCCTCAGCTCTGTGTAGTGGAAGCACCCTCAGAGCCTGTGGAATGGACTGGGGCTGAAGAATCTCTTTTTCGAGTCTTTCATGGCACCTACTTCAACAACTTCTGTTCAATAGCGAGGCTTCTGGGGACTAAGACGTGCAAGCAGGTACTGTCTGAAAGTAGCAGGAACAAGCTTGGGCCCTCCTTTCATGCACTCCTCTGTCAGCCCTTTGCCATCTTGTAAACCTGCCTGTCTGGAGAGAAGCTGTCTCAGGCTCAGTCCCTCATGAGCCTGTGCTTCTGGGCCATGAAATGGGTCTGCAAACACAGGGCCTCCTCCAAAGGCCAGGCCTAGCAATGCTTGGGGATCTGCTCTCCTCCTTGCTGAATTCTTATTTCTGTCTTTAGCCATGATCTAACACTTCTGGATGTTTCAGCATATTTTTAATTTCTTTTTTTCTTTTTTTTTGGTTCTTTCCTTTTCTTCTAAATGGGGATTTGTTTCCTAGATGGGACTTGTGGGTCTTTCTGGGGATGTTCTTACCTAACATACTCCTGCTCCTCAGCCACCGCTGCTGCTCCCTCCATTAATCTCCTCTTTGCTTTCTACAAATGTCCTATCACAAGATTTTCTAATTACCACCCCCAAAAGCTAGGCCTGGACCTTGCCCTTCTCACTCATACCATCTCTAGAATCACAATTTGATAGTAGCCACTTGCAGACAAGACTACAGTGAGAAGACACTGTAGAACAGGGACAGGGAGACAGGTGTTAAGGCCAATCTGCCAACAAGAAAGGAACACCAGAGCTTGAGCCCTGCTCACTTGGCTCCTAACTTCTGGAGGAGTCTCTGTGGCTTCTTATTCATGCTTCCTTTACTTAGAACAAGCAATAGAACTGTGAGTTGAAGTGTCCTTTGCTTTCATTGTAGAGCCCAAATCTATTTCACTGAGGCACAGGTTCTTAACCTAAAGATCTATCAAATTGGGTGCAAAACAATTTTTGTGTGCATTTTCCTGAGAAGATTAATATTTTTCATAGAATCTCAAAAGGACCTATAACCAAAAAGTGTGTGTGTGTGTGTGTGTGTGTGTGTGTGTGTGTGTGTCTAAAAATGAATACTATAAAGGGAAAAAGCACAGTGAAAGGGAACCAGCCTTTCTGAAATGCTGTCCTACTTAAGTAGTCAAGGCTCTGACATATTTATACCTTTATACCAGCAGAGGGAGCTAGTGCTGGTAAATGTCAGGTTTTAACACTCAGTTACATAAGGTACACAAAGTTGCCCTTCCTAAAAAGAAACAGATACAGTTGGTAAGAATCTGCCCACACTCAAGGTTTGGTAGGCAGAGCCATTGACGAAAACTACTAACCAGGAAAGCTGTAATTGTGCTCAGTATTTCTTCTTTCTCAAGTCAGGGTAAATGCTTAAGAATTAACTTCAGAGCCATTGCTAATCTGTCTCCCCCTGACTGAAGAGATGCTCAGCCAGCTGCCTAGGAGCTCTCTAGAACCCTCCTAAGCCCAGCACCTGGCTGGATCACTTATATGATTGCCTAGCTCAAGAAGGAATGACAGGTCCTATTGGATTTCTCTTCCAGGTCTTTCAGTTTGCAGTCAAAGAATCACTTATCCTGAAGCTGCCAACAGATGAGCTCATGAACCCCTCGCAGAAGAAGAAAAGAAAGCACAGGCAAGAGTTGGACAGAGGACTTTCTGTGGCCAGGCTGTTGCCTGTGCTCTGACCTCCCCTTGCACTTTCCATCTGCTTCCCTCATTAGCCATTGCCCATCCATTTAGCATTGCACAACTGAGGGCCAGCCTTCTCAGTGCTCCCTGTGGGTCTATGCCTTGGCCCAGCCTTTCCCCGGTCCCTAGTTGCTGTGGATCATGAGATAACTGTTTGGTTTTCCATTTAAGCTCTGGCCAGTAGAACATGAGAGGCCATTTTCCTCATTGGGTGATTAGTTGTTTTGTTTTTGGCACTTGTATTATTTTTCTAAGTTGCATAATAACACTGTTTTCTAGCTAGCCTTTGCTTAGGGTTGGAAGTTGTTTTTTGTTTTTGTTTTTGTTTTTAATTGACATTCTGCCTGGTTTTGTTCCTTAATGACTATCACCTATTGAAGGAAAGAACTGACACTGATTCCAGACATAGAGGGAAGTCCCTGTGGCTGCTTCCTTTCAGTTCCTTTACTCAGAACATATTCCTGAAAAGCCTTCTCACTTCCCCATCTTGAAACGCCCCCATATTTCCACCTTCCCAAAGGCTGGGGAGAGGGAGAAACAATAGTATTGTAATAGACATAGAGGGTTGGATTTTGTTTTGTGTCTGTTTTTGTTTTATTTATGTTTGTTTGTTATCTTTAAATCTTGAGGCATAGGCCAGCTGGATTTGGGATGGACTCTAGCTTCCCTGTACCAGAACAGAGGCCTCTTGTGAAGTGATTTGAGAGGACTCTCCCCAATTATCAAACTGCAGTCCCTCAGAGTAGGTCACATTGTCCTTTACCCGCATCTGCAGAGTTCCCCAGGACCATGACCCAGACCCATCCTGTCTCTTTTTCAGGTTGTGGGCTGCACACTGCAGGAAAATTCAGCTGAAGAAAGGTAGGTTCCACCAGGCCCTTCTTCGGCAGCTCAGCTCAAGGTCTCACCCTTGTGGCCATCCTCCACCCCACTTGCAGCTGCGCTTGGGTTGACCCTACACCACTTCCACAGGTTGCAGTTTTTCTGTAACCGCTGAGAACAGCTAAGCTTCTCACTGCAGCTGTGAAGACCTCTTAAGAGGTAGAATTATGGGCCTTATAGTCTCTGACTTTCAGACGAGATCGGGCGCGTTCAGGGTGGTATGGCCGTAGGTCTCTGACTTTCATAGAAGGCCATTTGCTAGGTCCTAGACTTCATTTAATATTCAGAATAGCTGCAGTGTAGGTAGTCCCAGACTATTTCCACACTTTCCCCACAGAACAAATCACACCTAACTTCTGGAGGAGTCTCTGTGGCCTCTTATTCATGCTTCCTTTACTTAGAACAAGCAATAGAACTGTGAGTTGAAGTGTCCTTATGAACAACTATCATCTAGGATTGCCTCTTACTTCAGGTGCTAAATGTGTGTCCAAGGTTAAGATTCAGCACCACTGGAGAATTGGGAGGGAGGGCAGCGAGGGATGAGCACAGCAGTGTCCTGGTCTATTCTTTTGTTTCCTAGATAACTCGTCCACACAAGTGTATAATTACCAACCCTGTGACCACCCAGACCGCCCCTGTGACAGCACCTGCCCCTGCATCATGACTCAGAATTTCTGTGAAAAGTTTTGCCAGTGCAACCCGGACTGTAAGACTTTTTTGTTTTCCCCTATAGTCTACCAAAACAGTCAGCCTCAGTGCATCCCAGGTTTCCCTCCCCTCCTGTGCCTTTTGCTGCTTATGGGCCTCCTGATATTTTTTTTGCTGTATTTTAGGCATTCTACAAGAGACTTAAGATCTGGAAAAGTCATTTTTTAAAAACACTTATGAATATGATTCTAAAATCAACAATTAAACAGAAACCAGATGCTTCCCCAACTTTACCTTTCAGGGCAAAATTAAGAGACATGGGAATCTTTTTCCTATAGTGCAGTCACTTTCCAGAAAGTTTTATAATATATGCAGGTTACAATTCTATGTATGTCTGTTTTAGTTTACTATCTGGAGTTTTAAAAACAGGTCAGTCTGCAAATGTCCATAAGTAGACAAATGGATAAAAAAGCTGTGGTACATATACATAATGGAGTACTATGCAGCTGTAAGAAAGCAAGATCTCTTATCCTTTGAGATGACATGGAGGGACCTGGAAAGTATTATCCTAAGTGAAACAAGCCAAACAGAGAAAGACAAGTATCGTATGATCTCACTTATTTGTGGAATATAATGAACATAACAGTCTGAGGTATGGGGTAGTCCCAGAGATGTGGAAGTGGGGTACAGACTGACAATCCCCAGAAGAGGGGGCGGGAGGAGAGATAAACCATAGAACTTATATGCATGTATGTATGAACAGTGGACATGGGCAACAAAGCTGGGGACAGGGCGGGGAGGGAGGGAGAAAGGGGAATCAGTGGGGGGGAGGGAGAAACATCTGTAACAAAAATAAATAGTTTAAAAAAACTAAAAAAAAAACAAACAAAAAAAAACAGGTCAGTCTGGGTGTCAGCAGAAGGTAGGATAGAGGCTAAAAGTGCTTCTCTCACTTCTTATCCCACCATGCCCTTATCCCCTCCAGGAAGTTTGATGGCAGGCCCCAGAGCTTGCAGAACGTGGTGCCCAGGCAGTTGTGCTGGAAATACCTCCTGACTTGTGGCAGGCATCAGTCTTAACCACAGTAGAGGGGTGCTTGTACTGGGGAGGGCAGTGGTTAGAGGAGGGTGTCATAGAGGGTGCATTCTGTTCTCAAATGATTTTTGTTTTGATGTTTAGCATTTACCAGTGAAAAACACTGATTTCATTTTCTTTGGGGCACTATTCACTTCCCTTCCTAATTCCACCAGTAAAGAGGAGAGGAGAACATTGTTGGGGAGTCTATAGGAAATACATTTCCATAGTCAAACCTGTTTTTTTGACTCCTCAGGCATGAATTTTGGGAGGCACTCCATTTCCTTTGGAAAAATTTTGAGTATATGATTATTGGGAAGGGAACATCTCTCCTATTTACTTCATTGCTGTCCCTTGAGTAAAACCTGACCCAGCATTAGTCTGTTTCTCTTCCTAACCTTACCTCTTGTCCCACCCAGGTCAGAATCGTTTCCCTGGCTGTCGCTGTAAGACCCAGTGCAATACCAAGCAGTGTCCTTGCTATCTGGCAGTGCGAGAGTGTGACCCCGACCTGTGTCTCACCTGTGGGGCCTCAGAGCACTGGGACTGCAAAGTGGTTTCCTGTAAAAACTGTAGCATCCAGCGAGGACTCAAGAAGGTGAGGGCTTTTCTCAGGATTCTGAGCCGGGTAATGGAGAGAGAAAGACTGAATAGTCCCCAGCAGACTGTTTCTTAGACAGGTTTCTTAGAGGGTTTGTACATGAAATCCTAAAAGACACACATTTATTGAATTAATGAAGTTTTCTGCCCAGTGATGGGTGAGAAGTGATCCCCTGAACTGGCCAGATGGAAAGGAGCAGAGAAGATGGACTGGTCATTGATGTTGTCTATTTTTACTTGACACATAGAGTGAAGGTCCCTGGGTCTAGAGCAGCGATTCTCAACCTGTGAGTCACGACTCCTTTGGGAGTCGAACGACCCTTTCACAGGGGCCGCCTAAGACCATCGAAAAACACATACTTCCGATGGTCTTAGGAACCGAGACACCGCTCCTCTATCCATCTCCAGGTGGGTCCTCCCACACGCAGATACGCCCACATACAACATGAGGAACTGTATTAAAGGGTCGCGGCATAGGAAGGTTGAGAACAGCTAGTCTAGAGGAAGAGGCGTCATGTTTCCTTTTATCACCTCCCTTTTTTTTTTCTTTTTCTTTTTCTTTTCTTTTTTGATACGTGCCCCTAGCAGGAACCAAACCCGGTACTCCTTGGTCCGCAGGCCGATGCTCCAACCACTGAGCAAAACTGGCCAGGGCACCACCTCCCTTTTTTGTTTTTCCTCCCACCAGAACAGAATGGCTTAGACCTTTTTCTGTTTTCAGATCCTCTTAACAGTTGCTAGTTTTTTCCACTCTGCCCCCACTATGCACATGCACATACACACCCCCTCACTCACACCCCATAGTCTGAGGTTTGACTCCCTCTTCCCCAGCACCTGCTGCTGGCCCCCTCAGATGTGGCCGGATGGGGCACCTTCATTAAGGAATCCGTGCAGAAGAATGAGTTCATTTCTGAATACTGTGGTGAGGTGAGTGCTATCAGTTTGGCCCACATTCTTGTCTGGAGAGATACTGATGAGAAACTCTGATTTTCTGTGGTCCAGACTTCTGTGAATTTATCTCTAAATAACTCAGCTGAGTTCTCACGTGGCCACTTGGGGGATCCCATAGAACTATTTGCAATCCTGAAACAAACCACTGTTCTTTGACTCTTTGGCAGTTCAGGCCACCCAGAAGGGGCAGGTGAGGGACTCTTCAGCCTTAATACTGGCCAGCCTGGGTAGAGATTGGAACGAAATAACCCAAGTTCGATATGTTATGACTCTTATCATGATACTCAGTAAGCACCTATATGTGACACTGCCCCCTCCCACTCCTGTCTAGGGGCAGGGTACTGTGCCCTGAGCAGAGAGCGTGATCCCCCGTTTGTTCCTTGTCTGTCCCTGCAGCTCATCTCTCAGGATGAGGCTGATCGACGAGGGAAGGTCTATGACAAATACATGTCCAGCTTCCTCTTCAACCTCAACAATGGTATGGAGTCTCTCTTTCTCATCCCAAAGTGGTCTCAAGCTGGTCTTCCTACCAGATGTCTCTTGTTAAGGTCCAGGTTCAGATCAGCTGTGAATCTTCCAACAGATGCACAGAGCAAGGTAGTGAGCTTGAACTCAAAGACACCATGAGCCACAGTTCACTTGCTTTGGGAGAACTTCCATTTCCAGGTTGTTTTTGTAATGAGAGCACTGAGCACTTACCCCTCAGAAATCTCTCTCCCTAGATGGGAAGAGGAGATCCATAATTCTAACAAAAAGGGGGGACCCAAAGGGAGTGCTCCCACATGAAGCTACATTCTCATGCTACCTGCTTTCCCAGCTCCTACTAGTATACCAGGCTTCAGAATTCCCACTGGGTTGTCTTGTTTCTGTTACTGTTTGGTTAGTTTTAAATTCAGGCTCAACGTTGACCCATGCACCAAGAGGTCACTGGTTCAATTCCCGGTCAGGGCACATGCCCAGGTTGTGGGCCAAATCCCTAGTGGAAGCAGCCAATTGATGTTCTCCCTCATCGACGTTTCTATTTCTCTCTCCCTCTCCCTTCCTCTTTCTCTAAAATCAATAAAGAAAAAAAATTTTTTAATTCAGGCTCAAGAAAGTGTGGAGTTGCCTGATGAATTCATGGTCTTCCTTGGTTTACTTCATACAGATTTTGTAGTGGATGCAACCCGGAAAGGAAACAAAATTCGATTTGCAAACCATTCAGTGAACCCCAACTGTTATGCCAAAGGTGAGTTCCCAGTGACCTGGGAGGTGGGCTGGGGGATATATGCTTCATTTACTATGATCTCTATCCATTATTTATTTTATTTTATTTTTTTATCCTCACCCGAGGACATTTTTCCATTTTTTGTTCAGACAGAGCGGGAGGGAGAGAGAGAGAGAGAAACATCGATGTGAAAAGGACACATCGAGTGGCTGCCACCCACACGACCCAACCAGGGCCGGGGACAAACTGCAACCGAGTCATGTGCCCTTAGTGGGAACCGAACCCGGGTCTCTCTGGACCGCAGGCCAACACTCTAACCGCTGAGCCAAACCGGCCAGGGCTCTATCCATTATTAACTTTTTTATAGCTGAGTTATTTTTTGTCCAGAGGTAATCATGATTAATGTCTGGTTATCAATTTTGAGCCTCTCTGTTTTTATAATATGCTCCCCCCACCACTAAATACATTATTAACATTTTCCCACAAACATGAATCTTTTAAAGATAATATTTCCCCATGTCACTAGCCAGAGAAAGAGATCTAAAGCATAGGCCAAAAAAAACCCACACACAGAAGCAACTCTATTGACTACTTTCTCATTCCACTTCATTTATATTTTCACTGGGAATTTGGAGAAAATCAACCTAGAATCACTACTGATTGTTGACTTGGGGTTGACTAGGAACCTAGCCCTGGATTTATCCTATTTGCAGTGGTCATGGTGAATGGGGATCATCGGATTGGGATATTTGCCAAGAGGGCAATTCAAGCTGGTGAAGAGCTCTTCTTTGATTACAGGTGAGGCAGCCATGAACGGTCGGTCGTAGAGAGGTGGCCCTAGGGGTGGAAAGGGTGGCTGTTGGAATTGATTTGGGGGCCTAATGTGGGTGATAGGGATGAAAGAGAGAATCTCATGGTGGTCAAGGCTTTTTCTTTGTTCTAATCTCTGGTGCCTTGCCTCAGAAGGGGGAGCATTGTAAACTGCTGTTAAGAAGTGGAAGGGGAAGTGAAATGGGAGGGGACTCCATCTTTTTAATCACAAAAGCCTTGATAGTAATTGGTTCCTCCTTCTGCTCTGGGACAGGTACAGCCAAGCTGATGCCCTCAAGTACGTGGGGATCGAGAGGGAGACTGATGTCCTTTAGCCCTCCTGGGCCCCATGTCAGCGCTATGGTAGCAGCACTGTCTTTGCTTTCATGCACACACCACTGCTGCTCGAGTTTCCTGCACTCTGTGTCTCTCACACCAAGAATCCCCCACCCACTCCCTCTGTAGTGAGGCCTCAGCTGTGTCCAGTGGAGACAGAACTGTCTCAGTAAGAAGGGAGGCAGAGGCAGCTAGGGCTTGGGCTCCCAGGAGAGAGTATTGCAGAAGTTGGAGACTGCATCTCAGACCTCAGAGGAAGAGAACACAGGCTGGGGATGGGTGACATATGCTATATTTCTTGTCACCCAGGCTGTGGGCCTCAGGAATCTACTGGGGTGGTTCCTAATAAGCATTAGCCTATAATTCTAACTTTTCAAATCAAGGGTCCTTATGTAATTGGGTTGCCAGCATACATCTCTGTGGTCCCAAAACCTGGAGAAGGCAGGCTAAGTTTAGCACCTGGAGCTTATGAGTGGTCTGGGTTAAAGGCGGGCCTGGCAGGCAGCACAGACTAAATTAAGAGGGAAGATGGGTTACCTTACTACCTCTTCCTTCCTGGCAGGGTTCAAACTGAAAGAGTGGGTTCTAAGTATAGATATGCAATGCTGGAAGAAGGAAAGCTAAGTGCCATCCTTTCATGGTCAGGGTGAGAACCAGCCTGATAATAGTTAAACTGCTAAGCTAGAGGCCCAGCAGGCTTTGAGAAACCTCTGGAGGTTCTGGAGATGGATATGTTTTCAGATGCCTGGGGAACAAGTGCCAGTGCCATTAGTTCTTCCAAAGTTCTAGCTTAGCAGCTGCAGGCAGCCATTCTGCTGCTACTGAAGAAGCATAGAGGGGTATGCCAGGCAGACGTGGGTGCTCTGGTTCCCTGGGTCTATAGTTTCCAGGCCTTCATTCCCCTTAGAGGCCAGCCCCACGGAGCCACTGTTACTTACCTCTTCTGTGTAGATGGGTGCAAACCTGGACTAGGGGGAAGATTGTCGTCGTGATTGACTTTCCTGTCTGTAGCACCTGCTGTTGGAAAGGATGTTGACAGTATGTGTTGACAGTATGTGTTTAGAAGTGGGTGAGGGGCTCCCAAATTGCACGTGTTTAGGATGGCATCGTGTGCACTGCAGATTGGCAGAGGGTATTTGAAGTGTTGAGAAAACTACCTGTGCCAGTCCATGGTGCCATTCTCTCTCAGATCCATGCAGAGCAAAGCACTTTATTTCTTTTAGAAGATCTGTAGGTTGGGGTGAAGTTTAAGCTAAGGTCTCTGAGGTCTCTACCCAAATCCCATTCCTGAGATAGGGGGAAGAAGAGGGGTGGAAGATTCTCCTCCAGTTCTGTCTCATTGCCTGGTGAAGGTAGGAGGAGTTACTTGTCTTGACACAGAAGAATTGAATGAGAAAAGGCCAGCTCTAAGAGCTGCCCTGTGTCTATGGCTGGTGTGCTGAGCTGGCAGGGAATAAGGAGCATTGTATTGGGTAAAAAGGACATGGGCAGGTACAGACTGGCCTAGGGAGTATTAGAATAGGGAGCAGGCTTCTCCCTTCTCTCTGGGGAATCAGAGCCACTCTTTCCCAGTCTATGATGACCATTCCTTTCCTCCAACCCCATTGGCTGTCCCATGAAGCAAGGGGTGGGATTCCCTTTGGCCGGGTAGCCATCCAGGGGTTTTTGTGTGACAGGCACACATACACTCACCTACTCTCACTCACCACACTGTGGGCACATGCACTCAGTAGATGCCCAGCCAGCGCCTGGCAGAAGCTTTTTCCCACCTGACTGGGCCAACCCCCGCCATGATTCTGAAATGTACATCTGCTGTGGTTTGTATTCATTGTGTATTGGGGACCCCTTCTAGCTGGACTGTGGGTTCTGAAATACTCATAAATTATAGGGGAAAGCCAGAGACACATGAAAGAGGAGGAGTTAGATCTGTCTGAAATGCCAGGGGCTGGCCATGAGGACTAGGTGGAAAAAAATTTCATCTAGCCTTTGAAAGGTTAGACTTACCCCACCCTTCCCTCAATGTGCAGAATCACTGTGGCCAGTCCCCTCCTTCCTCAGTTCCACTAATACTCCTTTTCCTCCAGCATTCCCATCCTTTTCCCCTGCTGTCCCCAACCTTTAATGACGGGTGTCAACCCCTCCCCCCAGACATATAATGATGAATGGAGCAAGGTGGTGGAGAGCGGGGGCAGGGGAGTCTGGTATATGTGCGGCTTTATTGCCAGTGAATTTCACGCACTTTAAAGTCCTGTGGCTTGTGACCTCTTATCTGAATAAAGTGGCAGAATCCATTTTGGCAAGGTGTGTTCCGTGTGCTTTGGGGCTGGAAGGATCCAGGGATGACAGTACTGCTACAGGGACATCTCAGGCTGAAGCTTTAGCATTCTGATCCCTACTTGTCCACTGAGATCTGGGGCTGGGGAAGAGTGGGGGTTGGCAAGAACCAGTCAGGCTCCTGGTAGGTGATACAAGGATTCTGAGGGCTCCCCATAGAAATATCCAAGCCCTCAGATTAGTTCCCTTAAAACCATCCCACTTACCCACCCTACTCACGACACCAGCCACCACACACAGACGGGGGCTCTGCCACTCTGCTTTATTAGAATGGCTCTGAGTCTGAGAGCACAGCTTCAGAGTGGAGGCTGGATCAGGATGGATGAGTGACCAGCAGACCTCATGGGACTTCCAACACAGGAGAAGCAAACTACAGACCGTGGGCACAGCACAGCACAGGACAATTGATTGCTTTTTTTCTTCTTTTATATATAAACTGATAATTTAAAAATTAGAGTAATATATAGAGTTTCTCTAGAGAGAGACTTTGCAACACAAAATATATATATAAAGAATAAGACCTCCTGGGCAAATGAAGCAGCATCTCTGAGCAGAGGAAAGAGGGTTCTTCATGCATTGGAGAGGGGGCCAAGCCTTTGGACAGGCACCAAGGCTAATGCATACCTTGGAAGAGGGAGGAAGAGTAAAGGGCTGGCTAGTCAGTGTGTCTGCATTATTTTCTCTATGTTGCAAGTTTTTATGGCTTTGGCTAAAGCATTTGAAGCAGCAGAGGTACTAAAGTGCTAAACTGAAGCCTCTCAGTCTCTATAAAAAACAAAAAAGGAAGAGGGTGGGGCCCAGTAATGAAGTTCTCCCTCACCCCCAACTGAGTGGACATAGATGGAAGACATTCTGCAGGGCAGGGGGAAGGCTGGGGGATATGATTTAGCAGCCTCCTCCCCCCATACCTCGCGCATCCCTGCAATCCCACCCATCTATCCCTGCTGAGATCAAATGTTTGAAAAGAGACAGTTAATCTCCCCTGCACTCTGAATCCCTGGCAGCAGCTGGGATAGGGATGACAGGTAGGGCCTGTCTCAACCCCATGAGGCTTGTCCTTTGGGGCAGGCAAACAACCTGGAGCCTGGGGAAACGGAAATGGGCAGGGTATTGGTTTAGGCAGTGAAGCTCGGCCACTCCCTTTGGTCCCATCTGTAGCTCTGCCCACCAAACTTGGCAGGAGGGGCAACCTCTGGATGAGCAGAACCAGCTAAAAGGAGCCAAATGTCCCTGACAGGGTTGGGCAGAGGCAGGTACTGGGGAATTCAGAGGAAATGTACTTGGTCCCTGAAGCCCTTCTGATTCATTCAGACCTGGACTCCTCCAGAATCTGGGGTAGGTTTTGGTCCCGGGGGCCAGGAGCTGGGGCTGGGGCTGGGGCTGGAGCTGGAGCTGGAATTTGAGTGGAAGCTGGTGTAGGGGCTGGGGCCTGGGCAGAGCCTGAAGCAGGTAGGGGAGGTTTGCTACCAGGGTGGTAGTCGTGGGTGGCCTTGGGCTCATTGGTGTGGTAGGAACCCTTGTAGCGATGATTTTGCAGGTAGAAGAGCACCAACATTCCCACCAGCCCCAGCAGCAGGAAGGCCACCAAAACTGAAAGGGAAAAAAAACAATTCAGGGCAGATCTTTGAGGTTTCACCTATATACAGACGCACATGTATGCTTTTCACTAAAAGCACATGTGCATGACAGTGTCCGCTCTACAACCACATCAGGCTATTCCTAAGTGTCTGGTAGGTCTGAATTCCTGGCTTATCCCCTGCCATGTTCTATTTCTAATATTCTCTTTTAACATCCTTGGTAGTTACCCCTTCTTATCTCTAAATCTTACTATACCCCTGTTTTCTCATTTCTTAGCCATAGCCCCACCTTAACATTTCAATTAAAAGTCTGTGGTATCCTCAAACATTTAAAAATGTCCAGCCCAATTATATACTACCTTCAGCATAGCCTATCTCATCCTTCTTTGCACCACCAGGTACCTAGTTCGTTCAGTACCCCTCAGCCATGGGGATAAAGGGCAGGGAGGGAATGCTAACAGTCAGAGGGTAGGATCAGGAGGTCAGGGCAGTGATCACACTACTTACAGCCTAAAAGTATGGCAACCCATCCATCATCATGGTAGTATGGGAAGTCTGAAGAGGAGAAAGCACCCGTTAAGGAGAAGCTTCCTACATGGTAGAATTGTTGTCTTTCCCTGTCATCCCTCCCTCTTCTGTGTCCTGGGGACATACCTGGGGGCAGATACCAGGGATCCAGCTCAGGTGGTACCTCTGAGACAAGACGTGGCATGGCTCCACAGTTAGATTCAGACAGTTCTCCCTGAACTCGAAGGGCCTCAGCTAGCTCAGCAGTCATGGGTCGAGGGGTTCGGAAGTGGGTCTTGAGAGGAGCCACATTGTTGAACCGAACACCAGACAGGCAGCCTGAGAAACCTGGTGTGTTGTAGCGCTGGATCTCTGGGTCAATTACTCCTGTTTCTGGGGGATAGGCAGGCCAGAAAGAAAGAGCTTGGACCACCAGTAGCCCTGCCCCCTCTCACCATCCATAGGTTTCCCACTCAACACCACCTTCACTGTGATTTTCAGTTTCTTTGCTCTGCTAGGCTCCAGGGACTTCACCCATAATTTCTTAGCCAAAATGCATTGTCACCCACAGCTTACCCATAACACGCCCTAGATACAAGGCCTTGGGTGAGTCCAGCTGGCTATCCACCAACAGTGAGAACTTCTGCTCTGTCAGTGGGAAGTAGTCCACCTGAGGCAGGGAGGGGAAAGGAGATGAGGGAGGGAGAACTAGAGGTAGATGCAGCCACAACCATGCAGGAACTTCGTTTGAACTCTGTCCAAACTAGTGGTAAGTCCTAGTTCCATCCTAGGTAGGTGACCCCTGAACCCAGATGTAAGATTTAGTATTAAAAACCCCAAAACCTGCCCCGCTGGTGTGGCTCAGTGATTGAGCATCAACCCATGCACCAAGAGGTCACTGGATTGATTCCCGGTCAGGGCACATGCCCAGGTTGTGGGCCTGATCCCCAGTGTGGGGCATGCAGGAGGCAGCCAGTCAATGTTCTCTTGCATTGATGTTTCTATCTCTCTTTTCCTGTCCATTCCTCTCTCTCTCTAAAATCAATAAAGAAAAAATATTTTTAAAAAAATACTTCCTTCTTTAAAAATAAAAAACCCAACTACCTGGTTTTGAGCCCTGTTTTTGCAGCTTCCTACGGGTTTGACTTTGGGAAAACCACTTTACTTTCTGAGCCCACTTAATGATTTGTAAAATGGAGATGATAAGAACACCTTCGTACCTGAACTGCCTCACAGACCTGTTGTGAGAGTCACATGAGGTAATACATGTGAAAATTCTCTGTAAATTGGAATGTACTCTACAAATGCTAAATATCTGACATTTTCCTGGGTACCACAAACTTGATTGTAAGGTTATGATCTGAACTGGTCCACCTCCCTCTCCACAGACCTGGATGAAGAGGTTGCGGTAGACTCGGGTAATATTGACACTGTGGGGCTGGCCATCAGTAACTGGTCGGGTAGTTAGTTGGTATACGTAGGGGCTGGTGCCCAGCTGATATCGCAGCTGCAGAGTCCCTATGGGGTGCAGAGGGAGAAACAGGGAGTCCCCTCTTAGGTCCCACAGTCCCCATTTTCTAA